TAACTACTGATATTGACAAACGTAATCAAATCACACTGAGCCTGAAGGAACAGAGGATAGGCCTCAATTTAGGGGGATGTATTAAATTGAGACTTTTAATAATTTTTTGATATTTAAAAAGTTTAGGGGTATACAATTGAGACTTTTTGAGATTTTATAGAAGTCACGGTGTATTCAATTGAAATTTTTATAGACTTTTAAAGTCTCTAAAAGTTACGGTGTATTCAATTAAAATTTTTTAAAAGTCTCTATAAATATTGAGGTATTCAAATTTTAATGACTTCCAGATACTTTTATAAAAGTCTTTATAGTACTAACTTTTAAGCAGAAAGTACTCATATTAAAATTTAAAATTTGTCTTTCATTAATCACGAGATTTTGGAAGACTTTCACATTTTCAATCTTTCTTTCCTTTAACCTTCCATGGAAATGTATGATTAAAATTTATTTTTTTCTACTGATTAAATTCCATTTATCTTTCTCTCTCTTATTTTTTTATCTCTTTTTTCTATGAAAAAATAAAATTGGATTCTTGTAGCCTTTTTTTATTATTTCATTCATTTCTTTTTTTGTGAAAAATATCTATTTTTTATTAAATTATAAAATTTTATATGAAAAAATTATAATTAAATTTATATATATTAATTTTTATTTATTTTTAAAAGTATACTATACTAATAATATTGAATCATATATATATATTATTTATTTAATTAAGGTCTTAAATTTTTATTTTTTCAAATTTTTTTTATTATATGGGTAGAAGAATGGGAAGGAAAGGTGGAATTGTGGGAACCAACACCTCGTATGTGAAAATTTCACAACAGATCTAAATGAATTATATTTCAAATGAAAGTTTTCAAAAGTCTTTTGAATTCCATACAAGTCTATAAAATTTTTAATATGAAAATCTATATAAGTCTACGAAAAATTTCCACTAATTCCATACAAATCTACAAAAAATCCACGAAATCCATAAAAGTCATCACTTAAAAAAAATCCATCAAAGTCTTCAAAAATCTCAATTGAATACACCCCCCTTAATCAATGTATGGTGAGAATTTGACATTTCATATATTGTAAGGACTATAAGGAAACAGAAGCAGACCTTAATGAGCCGATTTTTGTGATAAACATTAAAACCCTGAACGTCAATATGTGCTTTTGCATCCTTCACAAACCCAATAGTCACAGTGGCAATCATCTAATAACAAAGAGAAAAGATAGTCACCAGATTTGAACATAAACTATGAGAAATAAAACTCTTATTAAAAAATATCATTATGACAAAAATTACACTGGCATCTTTTGGAACCCCATCAGTCCCAGGCTGTGGACGATAAGTTATCTCTTGGGACATCATCATGTCATTCACTATATTATGGTGTTCAATATCTTTCCCGCGCAGAATAATTCGAAAGCAAGGAGGGATTCTGAGGTAGAGAATTGATACATAGCTCTGCAATTTGAAGATGGGACTTTTTTTGTTATAAAAATAAAAATAAAAAATCAGACAGTGGTGTCACTAGTACTAGTAGAACTGTGAAAGATTGATATTTCTAAGCATCCCTGCCTTTAAAGCTCAAAAAATCACAAGGGTAAACATGAAAAGAAAGTAACATGATAACAACAGCCACTCACCCTTAATGAGTGTCGATATGTTAGAAAGCGCCTGGAGTTGGGATACAACTGTGCCATTTGTATGTTCTTCTCATCCCTGTTTACGCCTCGGATTTGGATATCCTGCAAGCAAAAAAACCATAACAGATGAAAGAATCATTTATGTACAAGTATCAGATTAATTATGAAGAGGAATATCCACAAACAACAAGTTGATGGGCATACATGTGGATCAGTGTCAAAGTCAAGTTCCAATAAGCCCTGGTCATCCTCCCATAAATTATATACGATTATCCGTGTACCTTGATCCTTCATCTGATTAAACTATAAATACAAAGGGCAAAGGTAGAATTTATGTTGCCCATGTCCAAACAAGACCAAGCGAGGACAATCATAGAACAAAATAGCAAACAGCAAAACATCAGTAAATGCAATACATACTCAGTGATGCCATAAGCAGGGGTTTAAGTTATTCAAATAAGATCTTCATAGTATGACTTGCCATCAATCTTGTATCTCATTGTTCATTTTCTTAGAAACCAATAACCTCTGTTGATAGAAATTTTACAGGTCACCTTCCCCTCACCCACAAACCAAGAAGTAAAACCAAGTTAATCAGGTTCACTCATTTTGCATGGACGTAAAAATACTTACCAAATAGACTCTAAGGCTATTTGAAGTTGACCAGACCATTTGATCTTAGGAAAGATAACCGAAGGTTGAGCTACTCAAAATGGCTTGTCAAGCAAAGTTCGAGCTACAGGTAGTATAATATTAGGCCCTTGAGATGGTCCAATTAAGCTCTCGTTCTATTATCCATATGGAAAAACATTTTATAATTCAATATCACAAACGTTTAGTAATTTAATACATATCATCTTTCATACTCCATCACAAAAAGGACATCCTAGGAGGCTGCTATGTTAGTTCCTTTTTGGGAACATATAGATATGGGAGTTATTTGACCATAGTTTTTTAGTTTGGTTTTTCTTCCTGTGCTGACCTTTCGTAGTCAACAGGAAACTATATAGCTACAATTTGATCTATCAACGTCTTAAATCCGAAATTTCCTAATATCAGTATCATGCATGAAATTTATGCCAACGTTTTTCCCTAAAAGATACTGGTATAAGTACTGCTCCAAAACTTCCATCGAAAAAGCCATTCAATCTGAGAATGAGCCAAATCAGGCTATGATTATAGAATATTGCCACTCATCCCTTTTTGCCAACCAAATGCATCGTTCTACAACAACAAGAGAAGTAACACAAAACATAACATAATTGTGATGCCCCAGTCCACTATATTAATATCACAAAGTGTTTGCACTATATGCATGTGGTCTATCTCCAATTGTTAACTATTATTACTGCGAAATACAAAGTATTGATGTCCCAATCTTCTATACTCTCCTCCCAATTTGCATATAAAGGATAGACTCAAGTAGGTGTATGATGCAGAGAGGAAATGCCAAGTTAAAACAGGAACGATATTTCCTTGTTGCACAAATGGTTTGTAGGAAAATCATCTGGAGAATGAGCTATTAATCAGCATTATTGCTGCTGTTACCAGCATATCAATGTAGATTCAATGTTTAAATAAACAATAGATTGAGGAAGCTTCTAGCTTCCCTAATTATAAATACAAATTAAACAAAACAAAAACAACATTATATCAATAGATAGGGGTTTTAGGTACACATAAATCCAGAAAATAAGAAAGAACAATGATGAAAGCTCAAATGAACATTCTCAAATGAACATTCAGAATTTGCAGTGACAGCATGTTCTCCATTTCATTGTTCAAATGATACAGTACTCCGAGCCGTCTACAATAAAACTATTCAAACATCGGGAACAATACCAATTAAGAAAAATCACCTGCCGAAGAAGATCTGCTTCACTTGAAAATGGAGACCATTGGACTATAGTTTCAACATTTATATTCCAGTCACCAGCTGACGATCGAATTATCTTGTGCCATTCTTGTCCTCTTCTTTCGTAATCAAGCTTATGATCATTAAGAAAAATCAACAATCACATAAGCACAAATAAAATAGTAATAATCAAACCTAGCTCGCAGGAGTACATAACTCACCTCAACAAAGTCAAAAGGATCTTAAAAGATATATAACAGGAAGCTATTTTAGAGTTCAGAATAGCTATTTATATCTTTCTCCTTGACAAAAATTACCTTCTAAAATAAATGGCGAACAGTGCCTTCAAAAGTAATTTTAATTAATATTTTAACTCCGTTGATTAAGAGTAAGCCAATATGTCAACATTATTTCAAAACGTGCACATAAACCATTAGCAAAAGCTTCTAGTAAGTGCATATTAAGGAGAACCATGAACAGTAACACGTGTATTTTAGATAACATTACAGCTCCACAATGAATGTAGAACAATAATAAAATCTACCAAAGTGCAATTCACATACTTTCTTTGGATAGACAGCTGCTCTTAGATTTGTGAATATTTTTTACTAAAATGCATTTATTCCAATCATGCAGTCCAAGGCAACAGGTTTTACTCCAAGAATTCCGAAAGACCTTCGATATGGATGAAAACTCTGTCCAGATAATTTTATGGGTTTCTTCTTTTTATAACTATTGCTTTAAGGTATCAAATAGTTCTCTTGATCTCTTTCTTATCACTAAATTTCTACTTTAGAAATGACAAATAAATAAAAAGAAAATATTGCATTTGTAGCGTTGTCTTCGTGTATTATGAAATAAAATTCATACTTGTATGTAGTCCAACTTCTCCAACAATCATAGGGATCAGCCACTTAAATAAGCAATTCAAGGCAAAAATGAAAAGAATACATTTCAAGCTAGCGACATTAGAGTAGCAAAAAACTCATCATGTGAACCAAAATCGCTATTACAAAAGAGTAGTAAAACACTTACCATAGGTACCACAATATCTTCTTTTCCTGTGCTCCTCAAAAATGTGTACGACAATAATCCAATGCTTTGTGTGGGCCTAAAATCAGATTTAAAATCGATATGAGTTTGGCCAAAATGCAGTAAAAAGTTTGTGATGATGAAATATGTCACCAGGGTACAAAAATTTCCAAAAACATGTATTTCTGGTCCTTTAATGGGAGTTTATCTCTATATTTGGATCTTACAGTTATCTTCTTTACTCCTAAACTACCCCCAGTGGCTCAACTGCATGTCATCATATTAAATAATATTGGACAAAAATTTCAAATCGGAGTAAAGAACATGAACCTTTTCCCGCCTCCCCCAAAACAACGTGAGAAGACAATGACATCAGCTCCAAGCCTCATGGTACTTGTTTTAAAGCCATTTCCATCTGGTACAAAGAGCACCAGATAAATCAATGAGCAAACTAATAGCTTCCGTACAAGGCACATATTACTACCACAAACACATTAGGTTACATTAGCAAGACCAAAACTCAAGTTGAAAGAACTGGATTTACTTACACTGTCCAATAGTATCTACCATTTTGCTTTTCACGGAGTACCCAAGAGACATGCATTGTCGTATTTTATCTGGATCCATCCCACCACCATTATCTATGGAAAAGTTACAGCAAACAGTTCATGAGTAAAGCAAGTTTATCGACAAATATCAGTCAGAAGACATAAAACAAATTCACAAAAAGTTGATAGCTTGATTAGAAATGAGAAATCAAAAGGAACCTAAAACTATAAAGTATATGAAATACATGGTAAATAGGCAAACATTAACACCAATTTTCTGAAGCATGCAGTAATATATAGGAGTAATAATAGTATAATACATGATATCAATGATATATTTTATTGGATAAAATAACAGAACACGTAAGATATCTGCAGATCCAAGCCAACACGGGCCATGGCCTATGTACTTAGGCCTAGTATCATAATACCATCATGGCAAACAGCATTTGGCCGCAGCTAATTTGTAGCATGCCCCGAGTTGGCAGGTGGCCGGACCATGACACTGGAGTTTGTAGTGCATGTGGCAATCATAAATGTGGGCAGCATGCTGTCACTCACATCGCCCTCCGGAAGGCACAGCATATGCATCGCAGTTCATGCTAACAAACAAGGTTCTCATCTTAAAAAAAATCTCCTAGATCCCATGATGAGTGGTTAGTAGCGGTGTCTTCCCAGATATGTTCGAACTTCATTTTTTAATCTATATGCATGTGCTTATGAGGGCAGAGAAGGTGTTCACCATCCTCTTTCCATAAAATGGTGTGGCAACTCAAATCATCCTTTTATTAAACTGAATATCATTTTCATCTTTTATCTCAGCAAATATGAATACCTTCAATCAGCAACATTTTGCTGCCATCTTTCTTGCTTTTGACCATATCTATGTTAACGTATGTTGCTCCATTGCAAACCTGACATTCCAAAAGTTCAAACAGTAATTAATTCAGAAGACTAAAGCAACTAAACATGTGAAATGTTACTGATCACTGAAGAAGGTCTAATGCATGCCTCATCCAATGAATTGTCTAAAAGCTCCGCAAAAGCTGCAGAAAAAAATTATGAGAACAGAGGTAAGAAAAACAGTACATATCAATACTGTTGCTACTCCCTAAAAGACCAAAATATGTCATGGCGATACAAAGCATTCCCAGTTTACGAATATGTTTATCTCCTATACCTCCAAGAACCCACTTATGACTGGTTGCATTAGAGTGTAGAAATTTAGGATGAACTCTGACATGATCCATGCCACCTGCATAAGAATTTTTAGAGATATATCAGGACTGGCTCTTTACTAATACCCATAGTTTTAAAAAAGAGCAAGAAGGTATAATCGATATTTCGAAAGCTATTTAATAACTTCTCTTCAACTATCGAACACCCAGAACTTAAAGCTTGTGCTTCAAAAATTATACTTCTAAAATAGGTTGCACGAAGTAGCTATTTTGGAAAAAAGTAAGACAAAAAACCTGCAATTTTTATAAACCCAAAACTCAATTTCTAATCTAATTATGAAATATTTTGGTCAAAATTTCTTAAAGTCCATTTAATGATATCGAATTACAAAAAATTAATAAGACACTATACTTATTTTCAGTCTTCGAATCTTCCTCTGGAGTTTTCCAAGAGTTCAGTTATAAATGGCATAAACTATAGCCATTTTGAAGGTTACATACAACCTAACTACTATCCAGCATTATTATCTAAAAAGAAAAACATGCAATTCAAAAACTTACCGGTAGCCGACTGCCAGTCACCAGAAGGAGCATCATTGAAGTCCCCTGCCTTCCAGAACTGCTTACAACCACTCACAACCCCAGCGTTTCTTTCCGGCGGCGCAGGCAATTCTAACGCCGCCTCTGAATCTTTCGATGCTCGTTCTTTACCCGGCAGAGGGTCAAGAAACCCCACCGGCAATACAAAACTTAAATCCTTCGCTCTCTTCTTCTTCTTGTTGTTTCCAGAAACGTCTCCACTCGACTCCCGAGGCCTTTTGTTAACAATTCCGTCAATATCATTGTCGGACAAAGCATCCGAATCGGAATCGAAGTCGGAATCGGAATCGGAACTTGACAAGTTGATAAAGCAATCCGGCGGCAATGAATCATTCGGGTTCGGGTTCGGCTTTCGGCTCGGCTCGATAATTTCTTGTTTAACTTGGATTTCGTTTTCACTTCTTGCCATTTTTTAGCGAGGATTTGAGGGCCCGTAGAAGAAAAGAGTTGATAAAAACAAGTGACAAAAGTAACAGCTTTAATAGTAGATTCACGCGCGGCCGTGTTGGGTTCCTCTCCAGTTTCACTTTTCACAGTACTTTCCAACTATCAAACTTCTTCGGCAATTAGAACTTCTTGAATGATTACGTATTATCTAAGTTATAATTAATCATATCTATAAAATTGGATGTTTACGTGAATTGCACTAAAAAGGTTGAAGATGAAAATTTAACTAAATTGTATGTTAATTGTTACGTATTGTCATACTTGGCCAACTTATTTGGGCCTATAACCCACTCAATTCGAACCACGTGGCGCTCTAGTCGAGATGGCATGTATGGCCAAGGCCCATATACCGAGGCATATGAAACTAGCCGAGGCCTACCGAAGCCCTAAAGCGGAAGTACTACGTAAGTGGCAGGAGCCCTGAATCCGAAGCCGAAGCAGAAACCTCCAAACCATGAAGGAACGTCTTCTATGATCACTTCCCCCAAGAGATCTTCTACTAAAGATATTGTTAGAATGATTGATGGAACGTTTATCATAAGTTTACATGTCAAGTATTGTCATTAGCAGGGGGGTTCTGCATAAGCAATAAATGCGCAGTAAGCAAGTAAGTCAAGGATGATGCCTAAAATTGGAAATTTGGATTAAAGAGATGAGGCCACGTGCCACCTCATCTAAGAGCTGTCATTTTACATATACCACTATAAATACTTCCCTTATATAACATTAAAGAGTTAATGCAAAAATCAATACAAGAAACCACACTTTATTCTCTCTTTCATATTATTTTTCAACACAATACGAGTTCATACATATTTACATGCACATTCATAAACACTGATTGGTAATTATTGTACAATCGGATTACGAACATCCCGTCGAATTCCTAACGTTCTCGTCCGTTCGTTATCAATTTACTATTCTAATGAAGGAAAGTAGAATAACATAATTATGAGGGTGTTTAATAGCCATTTTTACATAAAAATGTATTTTAGAATAATAAATTGATGAAAAATATGTGGTTAAAAATAAAGAAAAGTTTTTCATTTACCTGTAATATTATTTTAATAAAGAATGTGTGGTTAAAAATAAGAGAGAGAAAAATACATTTTGAAAAAAAAAAGTGCCAAATGGGGTCTATATATTCTAGAAAAAAAAAAAAAGAAAAAGGTTAAAGTAGTCGAAAAGAAAGAGATTGACCTCAAATTTTACAGTGTAATTGAATAGAGATTGGTAGGCCCCGTTTGATTCTATTTTTCTCAAAATGTTTTTTTCTCGTTTTTCTTTTTAATCACTTGTTTCATTAAAATAATATCATACGTAAATTAAAAAAATTTCCTTAGTTTTTATCTATACATTCTGCCCATGTTTGAGCCACATTCTAGGAAAAAATACGGTATTTATGTCAAATCAATGAAAAATGTATAGTTAAAAAATAAGAAATTTTTTTGAACTTACACGTAATATTATTTTATTGAAGAATGTGTAGTTAAAATGATATCAAATCACTATTAAAGAATGTATTTTTTGAAAATAATGCGGCTCAAACAAACCCTCTCTATTGATCTACTGTTTTAAAATTTATTTTTCCATAAAAATGAGTGTCAAACACCTTTTAAAATTAGTTTTTAACTTTAGGCCCTGTTTGAGCCCCATTAAAATGAAAAATATGATCGTTATTCATCATATTAAGCCACCATATTTAACTCTTTATCTCTTATATGGAATTCACAACGACTATATTTTTCATTCTCATTTTTTTAATAATATGGTCCAAACAGGACTTATTTTAATTTTAATTTAGCGTATGTGATTGTGATGCGTGCCAAAAACTACAACCAATTCCACCAGGTTGCAATCACGTGGTAATAAATAATTTATGTAATTGGACACGTGTGTGCTGCCCCAATCAATTGTACTTATTTATTTGAATTATTTATGCTAAAATCCGTGACGTTGGCTGATTTAGAGAGGGATTGGACTGAGCTTGCTCAGCACATTATTCATTCTTTATGGGTAATTAGCACAAAACGGTCCTATCTTTCGATGTTTTCATGAAAAAGTTCCTATCTTTCGTTTTTTGGCGGATTACACCCTCACCTTTACCTTTTTTTGCGCAAAAAGTCCTTCTGTCAACTCCCCGTTAAAATATTCCGTTAAATCAAAAGGTAATTAGCACAAAAGGTCCCTACCTTTCAATATTATTGTGCAAAACGTCCCTACCTTTTATTTTTTGGCATAATTAGCACAAAAGGTTCCTACCTTTCAATGTTATTATGCAAAACGTCCATATCGTTCATTTTTTAGCATTTTCACTCCTACCTTTTACCTTTCATTGCCAAAAATGTCATTTTCATCCATTTTTTCAATAAAATGACGATTTTACTCTCCTATTCAAATAAAACAAAAATAAAAGAAAAGAAAAATAATTAATTAATTGTAATCATAGTCCTAAATCTTTCAAAACATTACAGATAAATTCTAAACTTTTCACTACCGCCACTTTCATAACCTCACCAAGCCACCACCTATAGATTCATATAACACTACCTTTCGTGTAACGTCCCAAATTTTATCGTCTTAAAATTTTGAGGTGTTACCGATATCATTTCGTAACGCATACATAAAGCGAAAATATTTAATTCGAAATTTAAAACTCTTGATTTATTTAATACTCAAATACCAAATTGAATAAACAAAATGTCGGGTAAACATAGAACATTAAACAGAATTAAATTGAAGCACACAATCCTAACAGAATTATTTTAAAACGTTTTCTTGCAAAGTTTTTCTTTACTTGGCAACCCGCGCACCGCTCAGCCACCATCCACGTTGACCGTACTGATTTGAAATATTGAAATTGAAGGAGTGAGTAATTACATTCAGTAGGATACGTGCGTCCAAACAATATAATAATTTAAAACGTAAACTCATAACATTTAATACCAACATTTCGTCAAGAGCAATCGGTGATCAGCCGAAAGCTCTAATACATTTTGAGAAGACCCGAAGGCGATCTCACATTACATTTCATTTCGTAGGGACCCGCTGGTCGAACATTTCATTTCATTTCATAGAGACCCGCAGGTCCAACATTTCATTTCATTTCATTAGACCCGCAGGTCGATTAGCATTTCATGAAATAAATCACGCATAAAAATCATAATATTGAAAGGACATACACTTGCACATAAAAGTATCCTACCTCGATTGATAATAGAAAAGTAAGGAATTCACGTTCCCAAAACCTTTTTGCTGTTGTCGTGTCTTGTGGATTTAAGGTCGATCCAGTGGCAATTCCACGTGCCAAAATCCTTTCTAAGAGAATTAAAACTCGTTTCCGACAATACAAAGAGAACACTTCTGGAATGGAGACTTGGACAGGCAGTGGAGAGTTAAGTGAAGATGGAAGAGAGTGGTTTTTATCTCATAAATTTTCGAGGATTTGGAATGAATTTATAGTGTAAGGAAGGTGTAAAATTAAGAAAGATTTTGACTGCCAAATTTGTTAAAAATATATAAATGGTAATTATGCAATCTAACCAACAGAAATCTCATCAATTAGCTCATTAATCTGTCCAATTACAAAAACTCTTTGTTTGGATATCAATCAAATTAAATTAATTAGGGTCTATTTAACATAAGAATGGTCAAGCTAGTGTCAATTTACATAAAATGACAGGTTATCATATCATCATATAAAATGAAATAAATAATTAAATAGTAAATTATAAGTTTAATTGGACTATATGCCCAAAATAACTAAATTTGTTAGAGGCCCCAAATCGTGTCTTACCATTATTCAAATTCAATTAGCAATTAAAATTAGCCTTTATCCTAATTGAGAGTTGGAAATGTACGTGCACGTGTGGCTACCCATACTCTTATCATAAGGAAATTTACCAATTCTAATTTAAAGGCAATTGAAACAATTAAGAGTACAAGGTATGATTGCCATGCATCATGCCTAGAGGCTAGAGATTGTCCAAAAATATTATTATATAATAATCAATTCATTCAAAGCTAGGCCTAAAAACGTGTGTCATCTTAGAATGGTCAAAAAGTCATAAATGTTAAATCAATATTCTAAGTAGGATTCCAAAATCAAAGCAAATGAATTTTTAATCTAAGAGAAAATTATTTTATCCAAACATCAATCAATCATAGTTAACTAAAAATATCTCTCCCTACATATTACTTTGCAAACTACTTAAATCACGAGTACCAGAAAATCAGAAATATTGGCAGATAAATGTAAACAAGGATTAAAAATAATTAAATCTCTTTCTCTAATAGAAAAGATAAACATTGATTATTATGATAAAATACTAGCTTCTTTTCCTAATTATCTTAAAAGAAATATTGTTAAATAATAAAGACGATGCTTATTATCTATGTTTCTTTGAATTGAAATAACTTAGTTTTAACTTAAAAGAACTCATATTTTCTTGAGTTGAAAATACATTATTAAATGCGAGCTACAAAATGAGCCCAATATTGATATACTTATACTCATTCTATCAAAATGTAATTATTGGTGCCAAATAAAATATGACTTTAAACGCTATTTCATTTCAGTCCTCAAATTTTAAAACTATAACATATAAGACAAATATATTTTTATTCCAAAATTTTCGGGGCGTTACATTTCGGTCACAATACCTATCGGACTCCACCACCACCACCACCACCACCACCACCAGCCTCAACTCACTCTTCTCAATATCCTCTTCCATAGCATTGGTCACCAATCTGTCCAAAACAACCACATTTAAGGTGGCAAAGTCTGGTGGGAATGGTGGCAGAAAGGTGGTATTATGTTGATTTATAGTTGGCAGCTTGATAGGTTGTGAAAGTGGTGGTGGTTGGGAATTTATGATTTCTTTTTGATTTTTTAAAAATTTAAGGACTATGGTTGCAGTTATTTATTCATCTTTTCTTTTTGTTTTATTTGAATAGGATGGTAAAATTGTCATTTTATTGAAAAAAAAAGAATTAGAATGACCTTTTTAGCAATGAAAGGTAAAAAGTAGGGGTGAAAATTCTAAAAAATTAAAGGTATAGACGTTTTGCACAATAACATTGAAAGGTAGGGACATTTTGTGCTAATTATGCCAAAAAATAAAAGGTATGGACGTTTTGCACAATAATATTGAAAGGTAGGGGCTTTTGTGCTAATTACCTTTTGATTTAACGGAACATTTTAACGGGGAGTTGACAGAAGGACGTTTTGCGCAAAAAAAAGGTAAAGGTGAGGGTGTAATCCGTCAAAAAACGAAAGGTAGGGACGTTTTTCACAAAATTATCGAAAGGTAAGGACGTTTTGTGCTAATTACCCTTTTTTATGAGTAAATTCTTTTTCCTTAGTAAAAAATTTGTTTGTAATTTTTAGAAAAATTATTATTTATTTATTTTTGTAAATGTGTGATTAAAAAGTATAGAAATATTATTGAAAAACATGAAAAGTAAAATTTTAAATGATTGTGTTATTATATTAAGAAAGCCAAGCACTTGATAATTAACAAATTAAACAAATCTTTCAACAAACATTTTAAACCCATAAATTTTTTTGTCCCACCATAAATATATTACAAATCTTTTTATAGGCACTTTAAACCATTATTTTTACACTATTTTTTCTATATATTCATTTTTAATTATTATTTTTTAACTATTTTTTCTACATATTCATTTTAGTCCAAAAATTTATAGAATAAAATATTTTGCACGTAAACCTAAAACTTTTTTTATACTTTTTAACCAAACATTTTCCTAAAAAATCACTATTTAAAATATTATTTTTTAGAAATAATGACCACCAAACGTAGGCTAATTTTTTTTTTTTTTTGCCAACATAAGTATTAATCAAATCTCTGTACACATAACCCCCGTTTGTTTCCCATTATTTGACCATTAAAATGAAAAATATGATTGTTATCCATCACATCAAGTCACCATATTTGACTTTTTATCTCTTGTGTAGAGCCTTAACGACTATATTTTTCATTCTCATTTTTACATTAATGTGTACCAAACGGGACTATACTTTAAAACCCATAAAAAATTCTGTCAACAAACTTAATGAAACTGTCTACATAATAATTGCTAAGGAATAAAATTCAAACCACAGATTTAGAAATCATGAACAAACTCTATTCAAAGATCATTGGATTATTTATATTAGTTTTTTATTTTTTTCTGAAATCATATTTTATCACATTTAAATATGAACCATAACTTTTATGAACATTTTATTCCATATTTTATCAAATTTACTAAATATCTCATTTTTATCAAAACCATTATGTGGCTTAATTCCATAGTTGGCTCATTGGATTATTATCCGTAAATAAACTTCACAATTTCTATACCAGATGCCCATTCTGTTGGACAGTAGTAAACACTACATTCTTGTTTGGTTCCATTATTTTTAAAATACATTTTTTCTTATTTTCAACCACACATTCTCCAATAAAATAACATTACACGTAAATTCAAAAAAATTTCTTACTTTTTAACCACATATTCTCCATCAAAATACTATTCTGAAATGTATTTTGAAAAAAAAAAAAAAAATGAACTCAAGCATGCTCTATGCTGCTAATGTTTTCTGGGGAAAAAAATAAAAATAAAAAATCAGCATATCTAACAGGTTTTTCTGTAATTTTTAGATAATTTAATTTCTTTTTTTCATCTATTCAAATAATACTTTATCACACCGAAAGGATTTCATAATCATCAAGCTAAAGTGCAATCATGTGATGATGTTAGGTAAAAAAGTCGTATTATTCTATCTTTAGCGGTTTGTTTGGAGAAAAAATCGTAATCACAAACAGGTTGTTGATTCGATAATAAGCATACGATGGAAAAAGGTTTAAATTAAACATAATACAGTATAAAGGTTATGAACATTTACTGGAATTAAATTGCAAGGTAGTTATTAAAAATTATAGTAGAAATATATTTAATTGTTTTGAATTGTCAAAATAAGTAACTTGAAAACCTTTATTTTAATTGATGCGATGCAATTAATAAAAAATGTGTTGTGAATATAATTATTCTATATATAATTCGCAATGTGAGAAAAATACTTATCCTCATTGAGCATATAAAACTCTGAATCAAAATCCAATATCTCAAAAAGATTAATTTGTTATCGAGGATACGGGGGAAAATATAATATACCATTATCAAGAGATACAATCATTTCAATACATTATTGTCGCTTGTATAGATTCATTTTTATCAAATTGGTGTCGGTTCATAATTGGCAACTTAAGATTGAATGGTTGAAAAATATTTTTGACACAACTGTCAATAAAATCTTGCCAAATATGAATCTGACACTATTCTAACAAAATGAATCTATACATTAGCATATATTGTTTAGTAAGGATTTTGATAATTAATTTTTTAACCGTCAGAGATAAAGTGAATCCTACTCATAAGAGAAAAATTCAGAAATAACGACTGAAATAGTGAAATAACATTCAAAAACCTGATTTTAATTGACTTTTAATACGTAACAAACAAGCACTCAATATATAAGTCAAACTTCAAGAGTTCTTCTACATGTATAGAGGTCTACCATTACAGACCTCTTACATATACTCACAAGGGTGGGATCAGCATTTTTTTTGGTATTTTTTAATACATGAGGACCTCGTGAACCCGACCTCCCAGAGTGTATTCTGTACAGGGACTGTACATCCAGCATTAATCAAACTTCAAATAAAACAATATCAACTGAGATATACTTGATATCGATAATGACAAAAAGGTATGTCTTGGGTCCTACTAATAGACTGTGCTACGACAGTACATCTTGGATTACGATCCGATCAACAAATTTGTTGTTTAGTGAAGCATATTAAAAAAAAAAAAACACACACACACGCACAACAGAATTGAATGACTAACTTTCCTTAATTCCTTTTGCTTTTTCATTCTCATATTATTTTATTTTATTTTCACTAATTTCATATAATAAAACAATTAACAGTCTCTTTACAAAATTAATCATTTATACGAAAACATGGGTGAAAACAAGTTGAAAATAAGACTACGATTCGATCAATAAATTCAAATTTCATTTTTAATTGATAATTACTTATTGCAGTAGCTCGTGTAAAGACCCAATTATACAAACCACATACTTCTTTAAAAAAAAAAAGTTACAGCCCGAAAGCTTAAGTGCAATTTTAAACAACAATAACTACTTGTGATCCTCCACTAATTCGTCACATCACATATCAGTAGGCTTCATGCTCACCCTGTTCCCAAAAAAGAAATTTAATTAATTAATTAATTCCAATATAATTGTGTTTCTTCATGAAAATTTAGAGAAAAATAATTATAGCAACTTGCCTTCTTGGGGGTGACAAAATCCACAAATTTGTTTTTGCCCTTGCCATTAGGTGACTTGTGAAAATGTGCTCCTCCATATTTCTTAATTAGTTTCTCTCTAACACACTTTTCGTATAAAAAAGCAGCTCCTCTGAATTGTGGTAGAACCAACCATGCCACGAAGGCTAGCTTCACATCGTACCATATTGGTATCCTGCAAATTAGTTAATTAATTAATCTCCCAGATTTTTACTAATATATTCAATTTATTGTGAAAAATATTTAGTTACCATTCTAATACAGGTTGGAGCAGCATCTCCATGAGAGTAAGAAAGGAATATAAAATCCAATAAGCAAGCCACTGCTCATCGTCTAATTTCGACGTGCTCTCTATGGCTGCTACTGATGCATATCTGTCACATAAATATAACAGAATACCGTTGCTCAGAATTTTAGAGGATGGATATCTCGTATCCGAAAACTAGCAGTTCACCCTGTTGGGTCTCCCATGAACTGTTTGCATCAATGGATTAATCCGATGCAAAACTTCAGACAAAGGTGTAAATCGAAAAAAGAATAAAAATAAAAATAAAAATTATAAGTGATCTTGCTTTTACTATTATATCAGAAGTCATTTCACGTGTTGCTTGACATAAAAGCAGATGCCCGGAGCCAGAAAATTACATTTGAGTTTTGCTTAAACGAGAGAGAAAAGGGTCACTTACAGTGGATAGAGCAACATAATCGATGGCCTGCATGTACAAGTACATAAACATAGTTAGCAAGAATTTCTGAATAAACCCCCACCCCACCCCACACCCCCCGGTTCTAACAAAACAAGAAGATAAAATTACCCAGCAAGAGCATGAAGATGAGTGACCAAAGTCCAAAAACGACCCATGTCTTGTCTTGTCTTGTCTTGTCTTGAGAACAGATGAAGAAAAGATTGCTTGCAATGAGAAAACGGTTTAAAACAGTCAAGACTGTAAAGAGACAAAGTTGAGACTACGAAATTCACGGAAGATGGTGACAGCATTTTATAAGGGCATAGATTGGGACACGTGGCAAAAGGGCATCAGATTCTGGAAAAACGTGGCAATCTAGGTTTAGCACCTGCCAGATCAGTAGTCATCTGATCTACATCTTAATATAAGAGATTTATTTTTTCTTTTTGGTAATTATTAATAAAATGGGACGTTAGTAACATGATTGCTTTGTGCTTTTCCTCCAACACAAGCCACGTATTGCTGTTTTTGATGCATAAGCCATAAAGTCGGTGACATGTTGCGAACCCAATTAAATCTCAGTCCAGAAAATGCTGTTTGTACAGCATTTATATACTGTAAATTTGTACAATCCTCTCACAAAAGTGGGGCTCGTAATTATTTTAATTGCAGACCCTATTCTTATGTATGAGAGGGCTGTCAACAATATTTTACATTTTGCTGTACATGTAGTAGCTCTCATCTCAATCAAGCCTGCGGATGTCAACGAGCTGAAACTCGAGGTTCGAGTTTGATTCAAGCCTTCTTTACCAAGCCGAGTCGAGTTGGTTCACAATTTTTTATTTTATTTTATTCTAGTTTTAACCTAGAAGCAGCTACTTAGTTGCTCGTAGACTTGGCAGGCAACAAGTAGCTGCCTGCAAAGTTAGCGTTAAGTCTGAGCGCAATTCGATTTGGATCGATTTCGACTCCAATCCTAAATCTATACCAAATTAGTTGGTTTGGAAGAGTTTCAATTCAAATCAAACAAATTCACTCTAACTCTTAAATTGAACCGATTAATCGGTTTGAACCGAGTTTTAGGTCCACTTAAATTACAAGAATAAAAATAACTAAGTCTTTGTTTGTCAATCATTCTACAACACTTTATCACATTATTTTTTTTGCAGTACATTTTTTCAACCACATTCTTCATTTAAATGATGTTACACATAAATAAATAAAAAATATTCTTTTTAACTAGATATTTCAACATCAATCACTATTCCATACATTATTTTTTAAAAATTAAAGGGGCACAAACAAGTCTTAAATAACTTTATATTATTGACTAATAAATAAAATCAGGTTAATAGAGACGAATTAATAGAAAATTTAAAAATTTTGTTGCTTTTTTACGCATTATGTAACCTGATTGTTTAAGTGGAAAAAAGAATAAAGGCTACGTATAACATAATGAGCATGTTAAAGAAAATTTTCAGTGCTATTATTTACCAGCAATACTATATATTAGAGGGAATTGAGATATAATTATGATAGTAGGGCTTATCTTTTGATTTTTATTTCTATTGAAAAAAGGTAAACATATAATTGAGTTACATTGATTCGGTTAACTGGTGGTATGACACTTCAAACCATGGCTGCATAGATCCACCATGATTTTTTTTTAAAAGAAAAAACCAAACAAAACAAATTACATGTGTCAAACCGACCCGAACCAGCATGAGTCGGTTCAATTTAATTGGTTTGGTCGATTTTCAATTTTTTTACCCAAGCCTAAATAGCGTGTAGCTGCCTGAAAAGGCAACGACTTGTTTTTAATTTTCAAATTTTTTTAAGGCTCGGTTTTTCATGACCTGAAAATAATCTGTGGGCCGTGACACAAGCCGGCCTGTCAAATCGTTAATTTGCTAATAATATTGAAGTAATAGTGAATTTAGAGAGCATAAACTTGAAACAATTAACAACAAAAAAGCTGCGGACAATATAGTAATCCCGGTCGATATTAACTTATTTTTACTATAATGTATCAAAACTGTCAGTCGAGGATTTTAAGTGGGAGATATTAACAAATAATTCAAGAAAATATGATATAAGAAAGAAGAGTTAGAAAAAAATAGTGAATTGTGTCATGGGTTCATTTATTTGCTAGTCATTTGTGGGGTTTCGGTCGGGGGCTGTTTCCTAACATTTCCCTAATATAATGAATATGGAGAAATAATAAATGACTGTTGAGAAGAGTGACAAAGGACCAAAAAATAAAGGTTGGTTGGAATGTGTAGAAATTTATTCCTTAAATTTTATAGATGTTTTGATTGCCAATATTTTTCATGAAAAATATATTTTTTTCCTCCCAAATTCTTACTTTATACAGTTTGACTGACATTTTTTCATGAAAAAAATTTTGTTTAGAGGAAGTATGATTTTATTTTTCAGAGAATTCACTCTCTCATCTATCCACTCTCTTTCATCTACCTACAAATAAAAATTGGATAAGTATAATATTTTCTATATCAAAAATTAAATCAATCAAACAAATTTTGTTGACAATTTTCATATAAATAAGTTCTAGGCAATTGAATTATCTAAAATTTATTTTCTTTCCATGCAAATTTCATACTTGCAATCAATATTTTCTATGGAAAATGTCTTTTTTTTTTCATCTAAATTTTCATTTTTGTGTTGTTTGATTAACTATTTTTTTTGTGGAACATATTTTTCCATTTTTAGCGTGGCCAGATAATCCTTGAAACAAGGAAAATATTTTCTTTGGATGGAGTGAGATTTTATTTTCCATAGAATTCAAACTTTCCAAAAATTTCCTTTTATGAAGTCCTCCACTTTCACACGTATCCAATCTCCCTCTCTCTCTCCTCTTCACCATGTACAAGGCCCTCTCTCTCACACATAATTGAACCAAAACTAGAAAGATGGAAAAAAAACAAGAAAAAAGGAAGAAGAAACCAAATACTCCCACAACCAAACCAGGAAGGAGTAAAAAAAATCCAAGGACCCGCATGAATCGCTGCTTCCATATTCGCCCTATTCACTACAGAATGTCGACAAGGAGCCGTTGATTGCATCGATTAAGGTTTTTTTCACAGTACTTAGAAAAATTGTGAATGTATTTTATGTATTTAATTTCGAATTCTAAAAATTGTGATTGTATTTTTTTCCATGCAAATTTTATTTTTGCAATCAAACGTACCCTAAGATGAAATTAAAAATTAAGAAGTATATTACAAATGCTCTAATGACATCTGCCCTGAAAGAAATTCCAATTGCCTTATTGGATTTCAGATGTCAAAGGTAAATCGAGATGTAATGGTCCCATCCAGCGTTTAATTGCATGGAAATTTACTTTTACAAATATCAAATTTTGAAAAAGTTTGGAGAATACGTAATTTTTTTTTATTTTTTTTTTTGTTTTTGAAAAATAATAATAGATTTATATATGATAAGGATTAAGGAATGTGTGACGAGAAGTGTGGATATATAAAAGTAAAATACAATACTCCATTCATTCCATAAAAATATATTTGATTTCCTTTTTGTCACAAATTATAAAAGTTAATTTCCTTGTTAAGAGTACAATTGATTTATTAGCATAGAAAGGAACTACTCCTATTTATATTATATCGGAATATAGTGGTGTTAATGAAATCGAATTATCGCATACCGTATATGTAGTTTAGATATCGATTTTAAGCATACCGTATACAATATACTGTATATGCAGCTTACCGTATTTACAGCTTAATTGTCGTATATGCTGCTTACCATATTTGCTTCCTACCGCATATTTCGTTGTTAAGAGTACAATTGATTTATTAGCATAGAAAGGAACTACTCCTATTTATATTATATCGGAATATAGTGGTGTTAATGAAATTGAATTATCGCATACTGTATATGTAGTTTAGATACCGATTTTAAGCATATCGTATATGCAGCTTACCGTATTTGCAGCTTAATTGTCGTATATGCTGCTTACCATATTTGCTTCCTATTGTATATGCTTTTAACTCATTTCATATATACCGTATTTTTACATACCATATTTTCACTTACACATAGAAATACCTATATATAATATACATATGCCGAATTATATTTACCAACTGTTAGCAAGAAAATTTAGATTTTTTTTCTTTTTCTATTTTTATTTATAACATAAATATAAAACAAGTAAACTGTAAAATATATGAATCAAGTAAATTGCAAACGTGTAAATTGCTAAATAAATAAATAACCGTAAGAATAAATTGCAAATATGTAAATTACAAAAAATAAATAAAATTTCAACTCGAGACCTGTACGAGCACAGTTTCCTTAAAACGGATTTGCTCCCTCACCGTAAGTGCTTGAGAATTAATCTGAGCGTCTGTTTTCCAGGATACAACGGTGACAATAGAATCCAAGTACTGCAGAAATTACTCCGTCGAACTGAGTTTATATCGAACAATATCACCACCTAGATGACTCTGAAAATGCAACAGATTATGTATACAGATAACACTAATTTAACTGATTTCGTGTGTACGCAGTATTCTCGTGGTTAGAATTATTGGAAAATGAGACATATATATAAGATTAAATTTGTCTATTAACTCCATAACAATAAACACTAGTGTTGCTTCAATTTATGGGAGTTTTGGCTATTTTTTAGAAACTCAAAAGTTAGTTGAAGAAAGCAAAAAATTGCAAAATGTAGACACTCCAAACGGGCCAAATTTTGCTCTGTTTGGTCCAACATTCGTGTACGCAGGTCGCGCCCGCACAAAAGTTCAAGATCCGAGATTTGCACCCCTGCGCACGCACGTGGAGAGAGTATCTACGCTACACATGATTGCACAATTCCAATGTGTACTCCTATATAAATTGGTTAATACTTTCTTTATTTTCCTATGAGGGACTAGATTTATTTCCCACATAAACCATCTTCCAATGGTCATTTTTGAGCTCCAATTTCTCATTCATCCATTCATCAATTTTGATAAATAAATACATGATTTCGATGCTCAAGGAGGAGAACAAGGATCAACTTCAATTTTCCAAATTTGACCAACAGGTTCCACACAAATTTTATGCCAAAATCATCCACTAACCCATTTTTTTCCAACATATTATTATTTAATGTAGGTTTATATTATGAAAAATGTAAGAATTTTTTTTTTAATTTATGTGAAAATAGGAATCAGCTTATTTTTGTGAGACGGAGAAAGTACATCTATAATATAAATATATTTTATAGTGATTTCTCTCGCT